GTCTCCCAAAAGGCATCTTTTGGTCACAGACCTCCAGAATGTTAATTGTTTTGGTGGATAACCAAAGCTCTAAGGACCAAAAGGTTGTGGATTGACTTGATGCCTGACTCAGTTACTCATTTATAATATATTTACTTCATACATATTATACTCATTTATAATATATTTCTACCAAATGATATTATACAACAACCACAGATGCCCTGAGGTTCAATTCAGAATGTTTTCCTTAATTAATTAGCCTCAGTATTTATTTTAACATGAAATGACTTTTTTTTTTCCATCAAAGCTTTTGAAAGCTGAGAGCAGAGGTGAAAAAGGTGTTCAATAGTGATGATACATATCAAATGTAAGGCTCAGGAGCAAAACTGACAATAAAATTTTTGAGTGGAATTTGGGAGATGTTTGAAATTTTCTCACTTCTGGACATCCCTCTGAGGGGACTGGGAAAGAGCACAGCATAATCCCCAATCAGTTTAGAACATTGAACTCATATTCTGATCTTTGCACAAATAATGTTGAGTTTTGTATCACTAAAAAAGGAAGTTGCCAAGATATTGTGTATTAAAAATGAAGAATATAGTTTCTATGATACAGTTTAAAAAAAAGGAAAAGTATGATTCTCAATACCACCCCCACCATGAGACACACACACACACACACACACAATAGAAAACAAACTGACAGTGGATTTTTAATTATGCCAATTAGAACTAAGATTCTCTCCCTCTCTCAAAGTTAAAAATATGAGAAAAAGGACATCTATTTTGATTTTTTTTTTTACCATTTATGCCAACCTCAAAATAAATGGCAGCCAGTGAGTTGATTTATGAGATAAAGGTATGCTGGTTTATCATATTAAACACATAATCTGCATATATTTTACATTAATCTATTTTTTGCTTATCAATCACAAATAGAAAAATGACTTCATTTCATTTTTCAATTAATCATAAAATGAAATTATCAAATAAAGTCCAAATACCTGAACAGTAAATCTAAGGCCCTTGTTTTCCTTCCAACTCTGCCCTTATTAACTACTTGTTTTGATAATGCTCTGCCAAATAGAAACCATTGACTCATCCATGGTTCTTTTGCTTGTTCACTTTTGTATCTTTTGATAATGTTGATCTGCTGTCCTGGAAAACATATTTTTCCCTCAATTTCAAGAACCAAAGTTTAAGTATATTTCAAATTGTCTTCAAACGTCTCTTCCTTCTCTGTCACAAGTCCACATAGGGAAGGGAAATAACATCAGTTAAGTTTTGAAAAACATTATTCTTCCTATTGTGTGGAGGCCTTAAGCACAGAAACAAGAAAGTGATGAAGCTGTTGTATAGTCAAAGAGAAAATGGTGACTTGGATGAAGGAAAAATCAGTGGGCAAAGAAGAAAGCAGACTATATTCATACTGTGGAGTGAAATCCACTGATATTGTTCATAAATTCATGCAAGCACATGAATATAAGGGAGGAATAATGGATACTTAATTTTTAATAATGTAATTTGTGTTTGCCTGAGCCCCCCAAAAATGACTAGAAAAAAAGAACATATTTTCAGGTAAAATCAAGAAATAATTTTAGGCATATATTGTAATGTGTATTAGTGATCCAAGTTGATGGAACTCAAGATAGTAGGCTTAGTCTGGAGCTTAGAGCAGAGAGTCAGGCCAGGATTATAAAGACAGTAAGACAAGAATGCTTAAAAAAAAAAAAACACGTAAGAATAGAGGCAATCATCTATTGAGGTATGTAGAGAAGAGAGGACTTTGAAAGGACCAGTAAGGTAAAAAAGAAGAGTTTGTTTTGCTGAAGCAGGAGGAACTGCTGAATAGTGTCTAATGCTTTGGCAAAGCTATGAACATATGGAAAAGTATTTACGAATGTCGGTAACATGGAGCTGATCTGGATTTTTGATAAGGGAATTTTCAGGAAATGTTGGGAGTGAAAGCACGATTGTCATGGGTAGAAGTATGAATTAAAGATCAGGAAATGTAGGAACAGTTAAGAGGAATAACTACAGAAAAACATCAACAAATAGGGCAGAAATGAGTAGACTATGTCTATGGAAGACATTTCTTTTTTCAATTTGGAAGCACATGGTGTGCATTAATGGAAATTATCCACTAAGGTGGGGAAAACCAACTATGCAAGAGGGAAGGAAAGACTCAAGTTAGTGGAGGTTTCAGGAGGACTTTAAGAACCAAACCCAGAGAACAGTGAGAAGGGACTATCTTTGATAAGAGGGAGACAGATATTTTATTATGAAAAATACGACATATGGGGTGCAGGTAGAGTACAGATTCAGCACCAAAAATGTGTGAGACTGGAAATCTGATCCCTCTATCTTATCATTGAAATGGTAGTTAAAGTCCTCTAGTGTGGGAGTTGTAGGAAAGGGATCTGAAAAAAAAAAAAAAAAGAGAGAAATTTTGAAAGCTGACTCTCCATGTGGGAAAGTGAGCTCATTGCACAAACAGATGATTTCATGGAATACTATTCCATGCCCAATTGAGATTTGAAATAGAAAGCTGTCAGTTTCACTCTGTGAATTTCTTCATTCTCATTCTCATTTGCCTTTATTTGAAAAGACACAAAAGAAGTCAGATTACTTTGAATTATAGTTAATTATGTACATATCTTATTTTTGTATATAACAAGGCAGAGGAAGCAATAAAGGAAACAATAAATATTCACATCTGAAATCCCCACAGCACCAAGCACATTGTAATCCCTAAATAAACTTATCCATTTTTCTTGTTACATTTGTAAATTGGTTAAGGTTATTTATTTAAGAAAGTAAAATGTCATTATTAATCATGATAAAATTAATATAAACAAGGGTACTGGGTTTTTATCAGACATGATAATGCACATTTTTTTGACATTCCTTTTCTAAGAAGCTTAGAGAATATGTCATACTTAGTGTTTCAAAATAACATCAAGGTATTGAATTTCAAGAGTGACTGTGAAGACAAACAAAGGGTGCTGAATATTTCAGCCAGGAATCCATTGGAATGTAACCGCTAAGGCACTAGGTAGTAAATGCTGAGTGGGGTGTTGAGTTTCTCATTGCAAATGTCAAACTGAATTTTAAAATAGCTGAAATGGTGATGCCTGCTTGAAAAACAAAGTGACTTGGTGCTAATCTTGACATAAAAATGTCTGTTTGCATATTAGCAGGAATCCTAACATTCAAAATCTTTACCATAAATTTTCAAGTTGCTATTCAAAATTAACTTTCAGCTAAAATATTGGCATAATTCAAAGTAAGCATAATGGGCTTTGGAAAACATGTTTTCCAGGTTTATTGATTTGAAACTAAAATATGTATGCTTCTCTCTTTACATCACAAAACAACACATAACTATGACCTGTCACTTTGGGAAACAAAGCCTGGCAGTTGTTACTGTTTTCCTTTTAATTGGCCTTAAAACAACCCAAATGAGCATCTTCTCAAAGATTCATTCACCTGACAGCTTGTCTTTATATGGAACAAAAAAGTTAAAATAAGAGTCAAAATGAATATGAACAGAAAAAAACTGCTGAGAAGTATTTGGGGATTTGACTTTCTTTTCCCCTCTTCATGCTCAGAGAGAAACAAGACACATTAATCAATTAACTTTGATCCTGTTAAAGAAAGCTTTAAAAAGAGAGTTCTAGGCTTATGAAAGTATATTATATTATTATTACAGCATTCTGCTTATGCACTTATCAATCACATTCTTATAATGGCATACAAACCAAAATACCATCATGTATTCAATTTGTATTTATTGGGTACATATTGTGTGACTGGAAAGATTTTAGGGACTGTAAACAAGAAGAACCAAAGGGTTCTATAAAGAGGATGACTGACAATGTTTAGACTGGTGGTCAGTGAAGGCCTTGCTGAAGAGATGATATATGAGCTACAATATGAACAATGAAAAGGAGCAGTCCATGCAGAGGCCCCCATGAGATTGTTCCAAGTAGAAGCAGTGGAGTTTGCCTTTTTATATATAGAAATTTTTTTACATATAGAGATTTCAGGGTTCCACTCTTTAGTTTGAGCACCATGAGAATTCCTAGAAGCTATCAGTTCATAACTAGCACAATCTTCTAATTAGACATATGTTATTTGGGTTGGATGATGAAAACGAATCAATGAACAATGTGATGATGTTGAAGCCATTATCCAAAATTACATGAATAAAAGTTCTTGCAAAGAGTCACAAGGCAAGTATGTAATAGATAACTGGAGTTTAGGAATAATGGTAAGAAACACACTTCTCTTTCAGTTGCATTTTCTTTTCACAACAGTGTGAAATACCATGGTGACCTTTATTATTTCTAATCCATTAAGAGTTAGGTTAATTGACTTGCTCAAATTTGAACAGATAAAATTGAAGAATCTGACCTAAAACTTATAACTTTCAGCTCCAAATTTAAATGGCTTTCCTATTACAGGAATTTAAAATGACCATGTGCACACGTAGACACACACACAAAAATACTAACATAGGATTTAATTTATAAGTTAATTTACTGTATCTCCTAGGAACTTTATGCCTACAATACATATTAATACCACTAGATGACAGTTATATTTCAGAATGAAATATTGATCTAAAATAAGATATTTGGGGCAATTATAGAAACAATTTCAAGATATATTTCCTTTCTAGAAAAATGTAATATAGCAACATAGGATTGCAGCTGATTCTAGGTAATGAAATTGAAATGAAGGGACATCATGATGGATCTTAATCCCACTCTACAAGGAATCACAGTGTGCCTGCTCTATGATGAGCTCTTCTCTTCCCTAGACTTTCTAAAAAAAATAGAAAAAAAATTTAAATTAATTTTGGTAATTGAAGAGATATTAATCAGTTTCTCCTGTCAACAAATATTTTCTCATGGGATCACTAGCACCCATTTAAGGTTTAATTTTAGATATTGCTGTATTCTCTGATGTGTGGAAATTTGAAGAGCAGCCCTCAGTACCCTGAAGAGAACACTGTGTGCCAGGTACTAGAACATAGTATCATTGCAGAACAGTTCTAATCTTCTCTTTACTGAATACAACCTAAGGTGAACCATTTCCAGGAACTAACAAACAAGATGGGATGAGAGAAGATTTTAGTTCAAGGTATGTTTCATCTATAAAAGTACTGAATAGAGAATATTTTTTTCTTTTTTTGATAGACTATTATTGGTTCTTTTTAGTTATATATGGCAGTAAAGTCTATTTTGACATAATTATATAAACATGGGCTATATCTTGTTCTAATTCAGACCCCAGTACTTTTCCTTTCCCTTCCCTCTCCCCACCCTCTGCTCCCTTCCCTCGATTAATCTTTCTGCCATTTACCCATAGTTATTTTTAAAATTAATTTCTTGTGGAGGGGGGTGGATAGAGAAGATTTTTAAGGAGTACTCCTGGGAAATAAATCTCTGTCAAGAAAGGACATATTTCTACCTATCAGAGAGAACATTCGGCCTTTAGTACAATATGTCAAAACACGCTGTACTGTCATGTATACCTAAAAAGAACAAATAAAAGAAAAAAAAAGAAAGTACATGTTTCATTTTGCCATTTCTCTCCTCAGATTTCAAATCAGACAATAGCTTTTAGTTTCTCTTTGCTCTAAGCTTGTACTTTGAGTTAAAGTAGTAGTCACTAAATTTACTAAAATTCATCTAGGTTTTCCTTTTTACAAACCATAGGTGATGATATCACCAGACGTTTCAAGTAAAGGGTGCTAATAAGATTTTTATTTGGAGACATTAAGTCCTAGAGATGAGAATGGATTTGAATTAGCATGGTTAGTTTCCTTCTATCATAGAGGATGCTGTTTTATATATTCTCTTGCATAGATCTTTTTAAAAAATCTTCATCAGAATTCTTTATCCTTTCTTCAGTTTGAGGGCCATAATAGAAGTTGAGAGTCTTTTCCCTGATGTATAAAAAAGACCCTCAGGATAAAGTCAAACTGCTGTACCAAGTCACCTTGGCAGGCTCGCAAGAGCTTGCTTCAGAAGAGCAGAGTTTGTATTTTGTCCCCCATCAGGATACTACTAAAGGGAACTTTGTGTGTAAATCCACAAAGATGTTCATTGATAAACTGTTATTTCCATTTAGAAATCAAGTAAGACTACAAAACCTGTGTGACCTTTAATCCCTTCGGTGGCAACAGCAGGCTTTACAAAGAGCTTCTCTCCCTAAGGGAAGAAATGGTGTTCAGGGTGAGACTGTAGAGGTTTAATTGGCACTTTCTGTGGTAGCCACATCAATGTTTGAGGTTTTTGTTTTTGTTTTTTTTTTTTGCAATGGAATTTACTTGTTACATGACATTTAACTCTGGACTTAATCAGCAACTAATTATTGATTTTATCAAGGAAATTTTCTATAAGATGGGAAAGAAGCTTTGGCTTTAATGTTATACTTTTCTTCTTGCAGAATCATCCTATTGATTGAAAACTGCCTGTGGGGAGATTGTTCACTCAGACAGTGATGTCAGTGAGGATGAGAGGTTGGGGCTGAACTTTAATTGAGAAACCTATAAAAGTCACTAAACACCATCTCATCACAGATAGTCAGTGTGATTCATGTGAATACATATGTAAGTAGTGCATTGCTCTTTCTCTTATCAGACATGAGCCGTGGACTCTCCAGAGAAATGTTCTGTAAAGTCCTTAGTGGCCTAAGTTAGTGCTTCTCAAGCATTTCCTTCTTCAAAAGGTGTTGGTCCTGGAATTGAATTTAAAATGCTAATTAAGAGATAATAGCTTTCTTCCTAAGATTCAGTTATACCTTAATCCTAGGAGCAGACCAAGAACAAGGTTCCAATGCCCCCGGGCTCTATAACAAGACACCAGAGAGTGAATAGCTCATAAGCAACAGAAATTATTTCTCACAGTAGTCAAAGTTGAGGAGTTCAAGATCAGTGCACCATCAAATTCATCATACATTGGGGCCCATCACCCTCCATGGATGATGATTCTTTCTTGTTATATTTACATGTGGTAGAAGGGATGAGCGAGACCCTCAGGCATGTTTTCTTGTACTGGGGATTGAATCCAAGGACAGTCTACCACTGAGTCTATTATTTTGAGACAGGGTCTTGCTAAGTTTCCCAGGCTACCCTGGAACTTGTAGTTTTTCTGCCTTGTCCTTTTGAGTTTCTGGGCTTGCAGGTATGTGGCACTACACCCAGTATGGGTCTTTTCTAAGAGATAATCCCCAATTATGAAAGCTTTATTCTTACGACATAATCACTTGCCAAAGATCCAGTCTCCTAATATCATTACCTAGGGGGTTAGGATTTCAACATGTGAATATTGACGGGACAAAAACAGAACCATAGCTGGAATTTTCCCTCTCTTCCTATCTCTACTTACTAATTGGGAAATAATCAGGGAAATTCTCTCTGACTTTGGGCTTGCTTAGGGTGATAAAGAATGGAGCTTTCCATGAGTGACAAGGACAGTCTGTGTAATTCCAAGGCTCGAGGCAGAGCAGTAATAGGATTTCATTAGTAAGGACATTTCTCAAGGAATATTCAGGTTGATGGAAAGACTTGTGTTGTGGATAGCTGGCTCAAACTTTATATTCACTTATTTAAGTGTCATTTTATTTAGAATACTTTTAGTGATTAAGCAGAGTTCATTTTAAACATTATTTTCACTAAAATAACTGTACAAAGTTGGAAACGTGCATGTCAGACTTCTAATATATCAATTCAATAATCTCTTTCTTCTAAACTTTCGTTAGACTTACTATTTATCTATACAGCAATTAAAACATAGAAACCTATGGTATTCTCCGATAATTTTACTTTTTCTCAAATGTTGGTGTCATAGATGATTTAAATCCAACAATGTTCAATATACTTTTGGGGATGTAGGAGGTGTTTATTTGTTGTAATGTACTGATTGATATACATATATTTTAAATTCCCATACCTACAATTCAAGTTTATATTAAAGTTATTTATTGTGTGCTTATACTGAGTTAATTGACAATGATGCAAAGAATTATTCTTAAGTTAGGATACTGTAGATTAGACTGTGTAACACAAATGCCCTTGATCTCAGGAATTAGACAACAAATGATTAGTTGTTGCTCATGGTATCTATTACAACTTGGTTAGAAGCTCTGTTCCTACATCACATATCCTTACCTGAGGACAGACTAATGGATTACCCAAATATTAATATGACAGAAGGAAAAAGGACCCTGACCCAGAAGTATCAAGAGAAGTCTTTGTGAAATAGCAAAAAAAAAAAAAAAAAAAAAAAAAGCCTAACTTGAGAGGTAAGAGGTGAGAAAAGAAGGCAGGGATAGGATTTTGCTATGAAGTGGATAAAAATGGGGTATTAATTGGGGGGGGGTAAAAATAGTGTTAAAAAATAAATAGCGGAGTGTAATTCAGGAGTGAGGGAGGAAAGAAGAGAGAGAAGCAATAATCCATGTGCAGGAAAAAAAAGATAGAGAAGAAGTTCAGAAATAAAGATCCTGAGAAGACTAGGGTGTCTGAAATCAGAACATAAGTGGTTTGAGGAGGGACAGTACATAATTATAAAAAGGAAGGGGAGCATCAGTGTAAATGGAGGCTTATCAAAAGGTTTGTGGAGAGGAGAGAATACTGGTTGCGATTGCTTTTTTTAAAAGTATGAAGTCAGATCATCAGCTGAGTGAAGGAGGAAAGGGGAAGTGGGTAGTTTTAGGAGAGAATTCAACACGTGAGATAGTCAATTTGAAACATGCTAAAACAAAAATAAGAAAATATGGAAAGACGACTACATTGTATTGCATGACCTCTTTGCATTTGTGACATTAGATTGGCCTGACTGATTTTAAATTACTCTCCAGGAAAATTCAGTTGTTTGGGTGCAGACATGACATAGGATAATATGTAGATTTAACTAGAGTTGGGGCTTTGCCACAAAAGTAAGATGGGGTAAGGGATATGTTAAACAAACAACTGTAACAGTGATTATAATGACAGATAATGAGCCCTACATTGGGTACATAGAAAAGTGAGGATATGACAAGGCAGAGGATAGTACTTAACAGAGAAAATGCAGTAACTTGTGGCATTAAATATTTTACACTTGGGGGCAGACAGGGATATAAATAATTAACTCTGAAACACTGTTAACATATTCTATCCTTAGGCAAGTTTAGAGTCTCAAGGGAATAATTAATTCTCTCTGGGGGCAGGGGTTGGGGAATATATATAATATACTTACTGCTCTCTAAGAATTATGCCAAATCTTTAGAGCAGAGGTGGCCTTTTTACTACTGAGGCTGTAAATAACCTCTAGAATTTGGAGAGCCAGTCACAGTCTGTTGAGAGCACAATCATATTTTTCTACAATTCTCCTTTATTACTAGAAACAGATTATTGTAATCTGGGCACCTGTAGATGCACTTAAACCTCATCAAGCTCTCAAGTGACAATTGAGATGAAAAAATAAGGCCCTATTAAACTTGAGATCTAGGGGACAACAGAGAGAAAACATTAAGGATGGAATTTGGAATCCTTTAAGAAATAGAAATATCATGATGATTAAGAAAGAGTCTGGGAGGGGCTGGGTTGTGGCTAAGTGGAGGAGTGCTCAAATAGCACATGTGAGGCTCTGGGTTCGATCCTCAGTACCACATAAGAATAAATAAATAAATATATAAAGAGTCTGGGAGAAAAAATGGTTGTTACTGGAAATAAGAGATATGATGCAATAATGAAGCATGTTGTGGGATCAGGTCAGACGGAAATATGATTTGATATGCCAGGACTAGAACTAAAGACCAGGAGCCAGGAAAAGAGGAATAATAGCTGACACCATGCTCATTAAGATGTGTCTCTGACTAAGGACCTTAACGTTTGCCTGTGACACAGATGATAACACGCCCACAGTCTGCTTTAATGGAGGTATCTGACTTCTTCCCTCACCATTTTCCTAGTCAGCCCAGACTCCTCACCTTCCTGACGTATTTGGGTCTATATCCACCCTCTGCTTTTGCTTACTGTTCTCTTCATCTGAAATATTCTCTTTTTCGTTGACATATATTCAAATCTTACCCATTTTACAAAGTAACTTTTCCATAAAACCCCATTGCAGACCAAATTGTTGAAATATGACATAACAAATTCTTCCTCCAAGTAAGGGAGGAATACTTGCCATTGTATTAGCCTTTAATTTCTCCTGTGGCTAGTTCGGTCTTCCCAGGTGGACTTCCTGGCAATAGCACCATCACAGAAAGAACATTGTACTTGGAATCTCAAATTCCAGCTTCTCCTTCTAGCTTGTTATTATTCTTATCCAGCTACTTATTATTAGCTTCATAGTGAAGTACAAGACATTTTTATAATCTGTTTTTCTCATCAATGAAATAAGGGTCGCAGTCCTCAACCTCCAAATTTGTGAGGTGGATTATGTGATATGAGAGAGTTTTTAATGTGGAAAACAAAATCTAACTAGTTGTGATGGTTTACCTTACATTGCAAATTGGTTAGGGTGTGGTACCCAGATATTTGGTCAAACTTTATTCTTAATATATGTTTCAAAATGATATTAATATGTGAATAGGTGACTCTGAGTCAATGTGATTGCCTTTTGTAATGTTGAGTAGGCCTCATCCAATCAGTTGAAGTCCTGGATAGAAAGCCTGGTTTCCCAGAGAGGGAATTCTGCCAGAAGACTGCTTTTGGACTCAAACTGTAACTCTTCCCTTGGTCTCCTAAAACAAAACATCCTTTTAGTTCTGTTTCTCTGGAGAACCATGCTGATAAGCTAATCTAAGCAGAAAGTGATTTATTACAGTATATTAGATAGAATAAAGAAGGTCTAGGAAATCAGAGGATTTTATTTTGGAGGCTGCACAGCCAGGAACAATGAAGACTTAAGAAAATCCCAAGTATAACACAAATGCCTAACTGCCAAGCAACCTGAAAATGGCGTTTTTAGCTTTCTGTTTTTTTTTTTTTACAGGAAGGCATGTACAAAGAGGGTTCTCATGGGGCTGAAACAGCTGATCTGAGCTGTCTGCTCTAGGTGACATATGAAAGTTACTGGCATTGAGTCTGACAGGAGAAATATACCATGTGACTTCAGAATTGTGAACTTCTTGAGGACAGAGACACTTGTCCTTCTTTGCAACCTTCTGAAGTTCCAAACTTCCCATTTCCAGGTCACAGATTCTTTGGTAAGCTATCTTTATTTCCATGTTCTTCCTATTTCCTTCAATACTCTCTCTATATATAAAAACTTAATTTCTTCCAAATTTCTCATTTATTCTTGTACTTATATTTTAGCCACTGTTCAAGAAGTGGGCTCCACTGCATTATTTTATAAAGATAATATTTTTATCAAATATTAGATCTACTTATTTTTAAATTTTGGGGTCCATTGATTTAAAGTGTGGAACAGACCGATAATGGTCGTTTTCACAGCATGCTATATCATAGAGACAAATATTGGTTATCTTGGTAATCAGAAAAGAATAAAAGAAAATAAATGTGTGTTTTGATTACTAAGTTAACTGAAATTCAAGACAGAGTTATGGCTATGTTTAACAGAGCTGTCCCCTCCACTGCATGCTGAACAGAAACTTAATATTTTATACATAAATTAATTTTTATTTTTATCATGGCTCCATTTAGGTAAATTCTTCCCACTTAACAGATGAGTGACTGAAGCACTTGTATGTTAAGTAATCTGCCCAAGGCCCTCCCAGGGACAGGCCAATTGTGGGATCTCTTAACTCTTGCCTTCTAACATTTACTCCTGACTGAACAGCATTGTTATTGGAGGATTTTTGTTTTTTGATTCCTATATATATGCCTTTGCTTTGATTGGCAAAATTAGAATTGGTAGAACATAACTTCTTAAAGATTCCTATTTATACAATCCATACATGAACAGTGTTCACTTGATCAGTTTCTTTTTTTTTTTTTTTTTTGCTATTCATCTTAATTTACTTTAGCTTTTTTTTTCCCCATGTCTATTCAAATTTGAACAAATAAACATGGTCCCGAATAAAGAGAGCCCTCTGACACCAATACCTCTGAGAATATTCATGTACATATCAGGTGAAATAAAGGTTGCGGGAAGAGCAATGTATCATCCAAATGTATATAGCAGAGTACACCTGTGAGACAATCATAGAAATTTCCTTTATGTTGGAAGAAGAATTTCATTTAAAACCATTTTGAACCAGTTGTTGTGGTGCACACCTATAATCTTAGCTACTGTAGAGGCTGAGGCAGGAGGATTGTAAATTTAGGGGATTTAGCAAGACCCTGTCTCAAAATGAGTAAATAAAAAGGGTTGGAGTTATGGCTCAGTGATAAAGCAATTGCCTAGCAGGTGCAAAGCTTGGCTTGAACCCCAGTACTGAAACCAATCAATCAATCAATATAAAATTAGTTTGATCTTGGGAGTGGGGGTGTGTTTCAGGAAAATTAAAAGTATTCTTGGAATTACATAAGATTTTCTTAAGGAAAAATTTCATAATGAAACGTGTATGGATCTAAATATAGGTATTAAATACATGTCATATACCCAATCTCATATTTGGCACTATGCAATTTATAAAAGACCCAAAATCTCAATAATGATTATGAACTGGAACACAATTACACCAATGAAGTGTAATATGATTTTTTTTCTCTGAAAGGGTGTTATAATTTTCAGGCTTGAATAGTACTGAACTTCAAAATGATAGCCCATATGGCTAAAAATGAGGAGAGACAATTTAAATTACTCTTCATTCTCTTTGTCTTAGGAGATTAATTTTCTGTCATTTTCTTTGAGAAGTTTACCTTCTCTAACATTTCTAACAGAAGGAGCTTAACAATGAGAAGGGCAAAAGCCTTCCAGGATGGCACTACAGAATTTCCATCTGTAAAGTATAGAGTTGTTTGAATTGGTTGGCCACTGTGCTTTATGAAAAGATGGATGAGAATGAGGAAGTACAGCAATTTGAAACTTTTGAGTCTATTGCTTCTAATATTGTATGTTACCTGGAAATGGAAGTTGTGGAAGTGCATTATCAAGAGAGAGACTTCAAAGTAGAATATGAAAGAGAAGAGTTAATTTCCAGAGGGAGTTCTAATCATTTAGTAGGCCTGCCAGAGTGGACTTAGATAATATGCAGGTATGCTCAATAATATATTGGATGTTTGCCAATCCTTCAAGCTGAATTTTCTTACCTTTGGAAGAAAAAGTCTTTTGTGTATAAGGTACTGTTCTTTCTGGAATCTATAAACCCGTTTTATCTATTATCTCTGCTGCCTCAGCAAGAGACTATTAATTGTAGAATACAGATAATGATAATATTCTAAGAGAGAAGATTTAAAAAAGAATAATTGAATGGAATTTTATTTTTTAACAAAAATAATGGGATATTTTGAAGTTCATTTATGGAGATTTCACATGTTCCATGCTATAATGTTGAACTTTTACATGGTTCTTTAAATGTATCAAATTTATACTCCTAGGAAAAACAGTAGGAAAAAAATCGATCTGCCCCATTTTTCCTGGGGTAAAGAGGTCAGGTGTCTTGCCCAAGAGCTAAATACAATAAATCCGAATACTTTGGAACTTCTGGCTTACTGTTATTGATCCAAACACTTGTTTTCCTATTTGTGCATTGTTATACTTCAATTACAGTAGTTAGGGCTTCCTGGAAACCAGCCTAATGAATTTTATAGGTGTTGGCAATCTGAATAGTTATCCCTGAAAGAGCAAATACAAGGGACATCATGTGGGCATGGAAATAAATGAGTCAGATGTTCTTTTCAGGATTAAATCATGACACTTGGAGCATGAAAACTAAAAAGGAATTCCCATCTTGATTTCTATTTTTTCTCAACTCCCTTTTCCCCAATCTTCTGTAGACCCTTATGTTCGTACAATTTTATTCTGAAGAGTTTTTTCCTGAGCTAACTAAGATCACAAATTGGATCCAAATAATTTCCACATTCTGGTCTTTACCTAGTCTCTCCTTGAAACCAAACTTTCTTCAATCTATCCCCTCAGGATATTGCTGTGTAGCTGGTGGTCTAATTTGCTCAAAGTGGAAATGGGTTAAACCACTCGAGTCACATTGTTTTTCCTTGGACCTGTGTGTATATTAACTTCTCTAGTTGCTGTACCTGTTACACATATCTGGACTGAAATGGGAATTTTACTTTTCATATTGTTTTCGCTGTACACAAATTAAAGAAAAAGACAGACTGCGAATCTGCATGTAGGTGGAACTGATGGGAAACTACTCATATCTTGAGAGTGATTCTCTCCCCAGTTACATTATATACTAGAAGTTAGAGTATACTCTTCATTCTGTTATTATTAATCTTGTTATTTTTATGAACTAATACAATTTTACCAAAAATAAAATTATTAAATATTTAATTTAATGCTATTAAATTAACTTTATATTTTCATTTCACATATGTATTCAAACATATGTTCATATTTACATAATTTTAATTCATGATTTTTATTATTCTGAATGTTTTACTATCTATTACATTATTTCTGATATAAGTGAGCAATGTTGTCAATGACACACATGTATGAGGAAATTGATATAAAGGATTTTTTTTGCATATTCAGGACTTTTAATGACATACACATAGCTAGTATTTAGTCAAAAATGTTTTTTAAAGTAAATGTTATTTTAGGATGAAAAATTAAATCTCCAGTTTAACAATGGGCCTTTGATTCCTTCTAGCATGACTATTGTTTGTATACACTGGCTAGACTTCATCTGTTGTAGTAGATGCAGAGTTACTGGGTTATATGGGGAGAAAGGAAAACAAGATAGGAATGTTTAGAAGCATGATGATGTACATTAGAAAATGTCAATCAGGCTACAACTGAGTTTAATGGGTGGAACAATCTCTAAACCAATGGATTTGAAAAGGTTTCACCCATATATAAATTTTAAAAATGTTGCTTGAATATATATTTCTCAATGAGTTCTTTTTCCTCCCTATCTTTCCAAGAATTGTTTCACAATAAGTCATGACCAATCATGTTGACATTTTATGTGTAAACAGATAGATAAATGGATACTTGGGAACAGCAGATATAAACTAGGACAGTCTTGCCAAAACCAAGGAACATGGTGATCCTTTTAGATGTGTGGAAATCTTTCCACATCCCAACAGAGGAAGAAAACACAACCAATCTCACCTTCAGCTTAATATGAAATATGTTCTGCCCTCATAACACTTATGTTTAAACTGGCTCTATGTCAAAATATCTTTATGTCAATGCCCAACCCTGGTAAGTGAATATTTATTAAAATTTTCTGAGGAATACTGAAAAGTCCTGAGTGACACTGGTATACATATTAAGACAGTGGGTAAGAGAATGGGCTTTCATGTGGGATGTGTTTGAACATTCATTTCTCCCTTTACAATTAAGCAAATTTCTCATATTAAACTCTCTGAATGTCAGTTTTCTCATTTATATAATAGGGGTGGCAATAATGGTACCTGACTCAGAGTTGCTATGCTGATCAAATAAGGCAGGAAAGGACTTAGCAGAGTGTCTGGTGCATAATCAACATGTTCTTATTGAGATGGACAATGGCTGTGGGTCCCTGAGAGCCCCTCTTATTAAAGAATGTATTCAGAAGGCAAGACTCTTACTGTTCTTTACCTAGGACATTTCCCAGAGTTGCCTGTGCAGTGAATAACTAGAGGGGGAGTCAGGTCTCCTTTTGGAACATAGAGTATGCTTACTTTTTGCTTGTTCTAAAATGCAAGTTCCTTCAAGTGTTCCTTAGCTGCAATGAGCACCCATATCTTCAGCATTCATTTGGACCCTCTTCCTCACCACCATGGACCTTGGGGGCAAAGAGACCAACACAAATCTGCTGATACTCATGCTATGTGCACTGTGAATGATATTATTTTGTCTCTGGTCCATAAATTTTGAGTCTCCTGATAGTATTTCTGATGCAGCAATGGGCCAACTTATTAGTTTTAAAGTAGGTAAAATAAATTCCAAACTCAATAGTTTGGTGAAAAGACTAGGAAGCTGAAAGAGAGAGGGTTTTCTTTAAAAAGGACAAGCACCCCATAGCTTTGGTTCAGGTATTAGAGGACTCCCTGGGACCTGGGATCCTCATGTAAGACATGCCCAAGGATGAGAGGGGCATAATAAGGATACTCCCCCAGCCCCAACTTT